TGTCTGGACATATGCCGGCCAACGGAAAGTAGAGAATTAATCCCTATTTTGCTTTGCCTGTATGCACAGCTTTTGCTTCACCTATTAAAGTATCTCTACCTCAACACAGGAATTTTCTCAGTTCTAGCCTTCTGACTTTCCCCTCCCACCCACTGCAGGGGAGCGAGTGGGTGGCTCTGCTGGGAAGAGCTGCCTGCCCGGGTGAGTTCTCAACATCGGATTATTCCCTATGGCTTAACTATAACTACTGATAAGTCAGCAGTTCATGAATGAACAATACATCGGAGATCAGTTTAAGACTTGGAAGGTATTGCTTCATACTTTACATATCAGTCGTACAGGTAATGTCAGTCTCTTCTACTTTTGTTGCCCAGTTCATCCATGCATCCCATGAAAAGAAATACCCTTAGGTTTTCTAAAGGTGATGACCTTGACTCTAATGCAAAGCCACCACCTGTCTCTAAGGCCTAAACCTGCTACATGCCATGCATTACAAGAGTGACTTACCCACCTGGATCCCTCACCACTTGCTTTCACAGCACTCAGGCAGGCAGGAAACAGACTGGCCTCATGCCTCCACCTAACTGCAGTGGGTGTGTGTATTTCTGGATCTTTCACCTTAAGGAAACTGCAAACTGCCAGAGGCAGGGATCATAGCTGCTCAGAGGCCTCAACAATCATCTTTTGGGTTTCTCCCTTCCCAGATGTCTTTCAGAAAGGAAAATGTCTCTCTGGAATATAGAATTTAAATTTATCCATCCCTTTTATGCCTTCTGAATAGTATGCCCTCCTACTGAACCACTTTCAACGCTTTCAACAGAACATAAAAGGCCACAGAACTTTTGAGGCCCATTAGCCTAAGGGGCTGAAGAAAGATTTACCCTGAATGGAACTTCAGAGCCTGAAAGAGAGTATTTACTTGGAAACATAAAACTGGTCACAGAAAACAGATTGATCCAAACCCATTTTTCTAATGTTTTCTGAAAGAAAACTATTTTACTGTTGAACTTGGAATGGTTCAGGACAAATTCCCTTGAAAATAAACAATTTTTAAAATTAAAATATTCCCTATCTGTCTGTAGTTTAGCCAAAAAAAAAAAAAAAAAGTTATCTGTTCAATCTCTTCAGTAAGCCAACAATTTCTAAGCTCCTTTATAAAAAATTCAAGTGTTCTGTTTGGACTGAATTATTCTCAAATGCTTGAATAGCAATGAAAGTAGACCTCCAGCACAAACCCATACCTGTAAAGACAAATTATTTTCCAGATTTGTGTTGGTCTTTTTTGCAACAGCGACTAAAAAGAAAGCAAACTTATGTATTAAAAAAGACACCGATGTTTACCACTTCAGTATTTACTTAAACTTTAAATTGCCCCTATGTGTTTATAATCTCCATTTCTTACTCTCTTTTGTCTCCTGAAAGGTCTAAAAATTGATGCAGAGAAAGACATAGGGAAATGACTGTGCCCATCATACACAGAACTACAACCAAAGTTGCCATTTTCTCAGGCAGAGTACACCTGAATTCTTCAACAACTAGAACCCCACTTAAAAAAAAAAAAAAAAAAAAAAAAAAAAAAAAAAAAAAGAGGCAAAAAATATTCTTTTGGCATGCTGTTTTCTCACAGACATGCCATTACAATCCCTTCTCCTGAACATCCTCCCCAAAATACTAACAAAAGCACTCTGAAATTAGTCTAACGAGGATACATATAATCCTGGTGAGGAGAGATAGAAATCCTTCCAAGAGCACTTCCATGTTCAGTTACACACAGACAGAGGTGGTGACACCCCAGCAACAACTCTGCTCTCATCATTCCAGCTGTACAGGGAATTCAACCACTGGGCAGCACAGTGCAGAAGTCAAGCACTTTCAATGAAACCAAGGTCCTGCCCACAGCCAGCAAGGAAATCTGTGCCTCTGCTGTGTCTCCAGTTCTGCTCAGGGTGTTGGGGCTGGACAGAGCAGCACATGGTACATGTTACTTACAGGCCACTCCTGGAAAAACACAGTGCTCACCTGCAAACTGTGCAGGATGCCCATCTGAGCCCAAACAGACCTAGCACTGAACAGAAGTCAGAGAGCTGATTAAATAAAGTTTAGATCCTTCATGGCACATGTAATGTAGTAGTGCTGCTCTAAAATATGTCAACACTGTGGTGGTGCTGGTGAACAACACAAGCCAACAGACACCCTGAGCTAACTAAAGAGAAAAGGAGAAGTGTGAGTGGAAGTGCGAGTTATTCACCAGGCTGTCACACTGCCAGTGGAAACATGCAGCAGATGCCTGCACCTGCTCAATTCACATTACTATTTTCTCCTCGTTATTATGCAGATACAAGTCTATAAAGTCAACGATACATACATTTTTCCCCCTAAAAAATGTTTAGCAGTTTAAAATATTTTGCAACAGATATTTGATGAATCTAAGTTTTTTTCCTGTTTTATTACCACTAGTTTTTATTAGTCATGTTTTAAAATTTAATGTGCTTTGATGAATTTTTTTTGAGTTAAAACCAAGGTTCAGGATTGAGTAATACAGCAAGTGTTAAAACCATCTTCAGAGACAGAAGGAAATCACAGAAATGTCTTTCCAAATGCTTAACCATCTACTTAGAAGGAAAAAATCCAACAAGTCCCATCCACTTTGAGGCTCACCTCCCACACACTGAAACCACTCTGAAAAACTTTAAACAATACATGCTCTTTGGAGCTATGGTAGTGTTTTGTTACTTCTTTAATGATTTTGTTACCCCAGAAGTTTCCAACACTCACAGGGCTCAAAATATATCTATGGAATTTGTATTTTAGCAAAACAGATTAATACACTTATTCACATTTGTTCTAAATCATCTCATCAAGAAACAAGGAACAAGCAAAAACCCAAATTTCAACTCAACCGCACCTCGCTCAGCTTGGCAGTTGCCATGCTACCAGGAACTAGGTAGAACTAGGTACCTGAATTAGAAAACAAAGGAAATAAAGCATTAATCCTTCAGAACTGGAGCTACATCTTTTTAGTCTTTCCTTTGCTAATAAAAAAAAAGGCAAATAATTTTATTTCTGAATGGAATCAGAAAACCCTACACCCTGGGGTCAACCTTACTGTAAATTTTTTAGGTCACTCAAACTGCAGTAACCTTCCCACATACCCTCAACTCTCTTTCAGTACTGACTAATAAAAAGTCACTTTTCAGAGTCATGTGACAGAGATAAAGGCTTTTACAGATAACATGTGGAAAAACAGTGGCATTAAGTGGTTTCTTGAACTACTGACAATAAAATAAAAAAGCAACCCCAGGGAGCTCAGCAGGAGTTCAGCTCCTATTCAAGGAGAAACACTAAACAAATGCCTCTCTATTATCTAACAAGTTCACCTAAAATTCATTGCTAGCCCAGTACATTTTCAGATTAATTGTTCAACAGCTCTATAACGAAATAGTTTTCAACGATCATCTTCATTTACAAACATAATTTACTACATGACCAGAAAAAGAAAATAATATAATAATTTCTGAATCCTAAAAATATACTGAAAAAGTTTTTACACCACTCAATTATTCAAAGGAAATTTAAAAAACAATCAGTTCTTCTTGAGCAGAAGTTTTAATTAAAACTCATTAAAGGACATAATGAGAATGCATTAGCACATGAAAATATGCTAAATATTCCCCTCAGCTAACCTCTTATGTGAGCTTTCCCAGAGCTGTAGCGAAACACAGCACTGCAGGACACAGCTGAGTTAAGCCCTATGTAAATTTAGTGTGACATATGCTGTGACACACAGCACTGTGAACCCCACTCTTTATACCACCAGCACATACTTCTGTATGCACATTATACACAAACAGCTTAAAGCATTTCTAATTTCTTTATAGTAGTGAGAATTGTCGTATTTCAGACTTCCCTACCCAGTCTTTAAACTTCTGAACAGTAGTGTAAGGCTGTCTTATTCCTTAGCAATAATTCAATTCATCCAGTTTTGCTAAGCAACTCCAAAAAAACCTCAAGTAATACCTATTAAGCTGGATTAAGATGTGTGGTGCTTTATTCTACATCTTTTTAGGCTATCAAACTACCAACAAACGACTTTTCAACCGAAAAGACAAGGAAAAAAACCTGATTGAAATAAGTAAAAGGTCATATTAAGTTACTTATTTCTGTTTAATTTTAACCACTTGAAGTTGACAACTGTTTATAGCTCTGAGACTGTAAATAAAGCATTGCTGGAAACTAGTAAAAGACAACAGGAATACAGGCACAAGGAAGACATTGATAAAACATTACATTCCAATGGTTAGTGCTGCAATCCAATGAGAAAGACCATACAAACTAGAATAAAAGACAAACAGAAAGTAGTTTGATACCAAATCCAGAAAAAATAATGTTTTGAAAATACAAAAGGAAAAGGTGCTTTGCAAAAATACTGGTATAAGACAAACTGATAAATTTCCCAAACATGGATTTTGCCCATAAATCTGAAAGGGGAGATCCAGAAGATTAATCAGTAAAAGAGTCTTATTTAACCTAAGCAGGGCTGGCCTTATGGTTTCAAGAAAGCAATCAGGTTAATACCATTCTTGGGCAGTTTCTTAGAGCTAACTCCAGCTTGATTAACTGTGTGTTGAGAAATACACAGACTCTCCTTTTGCCACAGTATTGTTCTTCTATGCCCTGGATATTGCAAATTGAGTTGATCCCTCACAAACCCAAGAACTGCAAGAGAACACAGCTGGTACCAATGGAAGATGCTGAATCAGTTCAGTTAAAACCAGTCTGAAAGATGACTTTGGCGAACTTCTGTGTCAGTGTAACTTCTTTGATGCAATACCCCAATTAATTTAAAACAAAATTACAATTACTTGACTAAAACTGTCATTCCATACTATTAAGAGTGGAGAAAGTACTGCAGGGTTGTTTTGCACCTAGTATTTCCTGTTCCTTAAGTAAATTAAATGACATAGATTCAAACTCTGAATCTGAAGATTGGAAGCTCTTACCTTGGGCATTACTAATTCCCAGATAGCAATTCTGAGGCTGCTCTATAATGAAAAAGAGAGGAATATTCACAAGGATGCAGGCACTTTGCTTGAATATCAAAGTGAAATATCTGCTGTATATTTCATAGTTTCCTCCAGGCCAAAACTGAAAAAAGGCCAACTGAGTCTGAAGAGGTAGATCTCTCTTTTGTTTGTCCAGCTTGGGGAAGAAGTAAGGAAGACACACAATGTGGTCAATTCAACTGCCTTCAAAGAATTTGTTTCTGAAATAGAGTTGAAAGCATCTTTTCCTCTTTTCCATGAAAGTTAAAAGTGGACAGGTGAAAGATTATAAAAAAAAATAGACATCAGGTTGTAGTATGTCAAGAAAAGGTAATGTAAACATTCTCTATAGAAATGATCATGCAATCATTTCCAAAAATGATCACAAAAAGTAGCAAATCATGAAATATGTAGGTAAGGGGACAACTTCAGGCAGAATGGGTTTGTACAGTACATACCCAGATAGGATCTCTTGGGAGGTGCTTTGATTTCTTCATCCTTACTATCTGCAGCTACATAAAAAAAAGAGTTGAAGGGAAAAAAAAAAAAGAAGGAAAGACAGACTTTTATGATTAAATGCAACAGTGGTTATTTAAGTTACAGTTTAGTCAGTTAGTACATTTTATTCATTAAAAAATAATAGCCAGACCAAAATATGCCAGAAATTTTAGTCCCCGTGCTTTCTATAAGGCTCCCACCCCGCAATGTTAAGATAGGACTGAGCAGTAGGAAATTGCAGAACAGTCTCAGTGCATAACCCAAGAGCAGTGTACCTATGAGGGGAAAATAAAGGCTTAAGAAACAATGAAACAGGCAGCTTGATTCTTACTTTAGACTACATAAATTCTAACTTTTCATGATGTCATGATTTGACCCCGGTTCAATGCCAGTGTCCCCACAAAAATACACCCTCCCCAAATAAATGCTGTGAGATCCGATCAGGAATAGAGCAGAGCAGGCCCAAGCTTAAAAACAAAGGGAAAAACTTTATTAAGCTACTACTACTATAATAAAAGACACACAGAATTCTGAAGGAAAGCCCTCCAAAACACTACTCCTCCCCCCACCCAATTTCCAACAAACCACAGTGAGACAACACCCTGGATTCCTGATCACTTTACCACCCTTCACATAATCAATTCTTAGTTCATCAAGGGAGAGAGGAGTCTCTCCTGTACCACAGACCCCCAGGAAGCACAGCTGCCACCTCTTGTGTTTCCATGTCACACATGGCACCGCCCAGAGAAAATCTGTCAGTGTGACACCCTCCTCTCCATGTCACAGTGCTCTCACCACCGTGCATGGACAGACACTGCTCATAGAGCTCCTTTAAGGATGCCCTTAAGGATGCCTTTAAGGATGCTTTACCAAGGATGAAAAGAACAACAGTTCAGTGTCTCATTTTGGGACCACAGTGCCTCCCATTTTCCTCCTCCCGTGGGGCAACAGAGATCTTCTTCCTCTTGGAGACAGAGGGCACTACCACACTCTCCTCAACTCTTCTCTGTTCCCTCCATTCCTGTGCTGGTAGTTGCTAAAGCAGGTCTCTTGGCTCATCTTTGCATCCCCCTAAAATGCAGTCTCTGTTACAGGAGAAACTGGTTCAGTCTATGGCTATACAAGAAAAGTCCAGCCAAAAGCCACTCCATCATTTCCTCCCACCTAGGATTCTTTACCCATCTTCTCCTAACATCTCAGGTCCCAGACCATCTCTTTTCTCTTTCAGAAAAAGAAGTAACATTTCACAGAGCTTTCATTGTCCAAGAAGGGGTTAAAAGTCTCAGACTCCCAAGATGGCTGAAATCCCTGCCCAGAACTCCAACTCCCATGGCTGGGCACCTTCCCCCCTCCTCTCTTTTCTCCTCTGCCAGTTCCCTGTCTCTTTCACTCTCTCTCTCTCTCTCTCTCTCTCTCTCTGGGGGAGGGAACAAAGACATCTCAGATTTTCCCCACCTTCCGTCTGCAGGAGCTGGCTCAGTTCCAGTCCTTCACACTCTGGCCTACCTCTCCCAGGCCGCATGGCTTCCCCTCCCTCACCCAGCCTGTGGCTGGGCATGGGAGGTCTGCAAGGCACTCTGACCGGAACCAAAGAGAAAGCTCCCCTGGGAGTTCTCTGCTTTTAACCCCCTGTGTTCTTAGAGGCGTGTCCAGCCTTCAGCAGTCACTCAAAGTGCCAATAGCCATACCTGACCACTGCTTGGCTTGACCCCAACTTCCTGAGAAAACTCACTTCCATGTCAAACCATGACACATGATCAGAGAAAACAACGCTGTTACCTCAGGAGCACTGGGTGTGTGGATATGTATGTATTAACAGCTGAGACAGTAGTTGCCTTGCCTCTGGTGGAAAATGCTATTCAAAAATACTGTCACAAAGCCCAACATCAAGGAGAGAACAGACCTCATCCATGCTGCATGCTAAACCTTTTTCACTCTAACCTTCCTCTGCCAGTTGAAAACCCTGTATTACACAAGAGAGTTTTTTAGTGCCAAAACGAAAATTCTTCAAAGGATTAGAGTGCTATAATAAGATACAAGTTACAAAGGAGATTAAGTCAACCAGCAAAACTGGATGAATGGCAAGAGAAAATAATCTTAATGTAAAAAACAAAGGAGCCCATGTTCTACTTGTGGAGTTTGGGCTGCACAAGTACAGAGATGTCCAAGAGTCTCCTTTCAACAAATATTGTCCACTGGTTTTCAGCATAGTTCATACATTCAAGGGGCTCCAAATCTGTTACAACATCTTGGGCATTACTAGAATCTTTGTTGGAGAGGGGTGGGAGAGTGTGTCTCTCTCTATGAATATGAACAAACTGCTCTGGCCCACCCACATTCCCAAAAGTAACCAGATGTTTTCAGCTGTCTGTACCTGTGACAATCTTGATTCAACCACCTCTTGGTTTTTGAGTAAAGACATAGCACATACACATTTTGTAGTTCAATATTCAGCTCTTTAGCATGGTAGCACCATCATGCCTCAAAATATTACAATACTTTGAACAAAATTAACAACAAGAAAATTAACAAGAAGCCTGGCCCTTTCTGTACTGAGTCAACAACAAAGCATACATATGGCACCACAGATACAACTTTAAATCTTGGGAACAAATATGGAAAACTATTGTTACCCCAACAATGGTACCAGGAGATCTGCATTAGAGTACTTTAAGATGCAGCAAGGTTAAATACAAGATAAAAGATAAGAAGCTATTGTTCATGCCTGATGATTTCACCTGAAGACTCCATGTAGTTTTCAAAGCATTCTTATGCAGGGGAGAGAACTGTCCCATCACAGGAGGTTTTTAAATCAAATTGGGATATTTGTTAGTTTTGTATTTTGCCCAATTTGGGTGCTGGCTTTCTCCTGCCTGAATTATTAAAAACAGACTACACAGTTCAAGTTAAAAAAAAAAAAATAATAGAACAGCTGAATATATGAACAGCATTTGCTCTGTTTTCAATTGGTATGTATTGAAGGATAAAGTCTCTGTATCCAAAACAAAAAATCAAAGAAGGCAGCAACAGTACAAGATGGGTTGCACCACTTTCAACTTCATTTTGCAATACTAAGAGGGAGTGGGGGAAAATCCCATAATTGAGAAGTAACTGTGAGAACAGGAGAAAATTTAAGAAAATTCACATAATCTTTTTAAGTTCCCTATGCACATAGTCTAAAAAAAATCAAACATTACTAGAAAATCAAGGGAGACTGCATTTCTCATGCTATTATAGTTACCTTACAAATGAAAGTACAAGCAAATTGACTGAATGTCTTTATATGTTCTGAACAGTTATTGACATTTTGGGTATTCTAAGCCAGTAACATCAGAAAACAGGATAAAGAATACAGAACAAGCTTGTCAGGATTTGAAGAGATTGCTTCTTAATGCTTCAAGATAGGAAGCAGATTCTTTCAGAACTAGTTATTACTTAAGGGACCTAATTTGTGAGAAAAATACAAACAAAAGGAAAAAAGACAATTCCCACATAACTGAAAACACACTGGTAAACATATACTTATGCCACTTGGAAGAAATACCACATTTAACAATAATATATGGAAACAGCAAACTTGCTTCCACTGAAATATTCTATTATTTCTAAATATTTTGGATTATTTTGCCAAAACATTCAAAGGGAGGACAGGAAAGAAAAACATTTGTAATGAAGACCAGCCATGTGAGAAATAATAATTATATTATCATACAGAAATGCTGTACCTTCCCTCAAGATTCTGCAAGGTTAGCCAAAAACAATGACTTCAAACCTAGCTCTTCACAGCCCCAGTAAGCTATAAGGAAAGAAAGTAAGTACAGACTTATCAGCTTGCCTAGATCACCATAAAGCTTTAGAGATAAGATTAGGTGTACGATTAGAAACACAGCTCTCACTCCTACTCATATTGTGCTTGAAACTGTCCAACTTGAAAGGAGCTTTGCATGCATCTGAATGTATATTCTGAGCCATCATACAATTGTCCTTACTAAAAATCAATGCCATGTAAGAAAAATATTCCAACTATTCTCAGTGTTTGTGGTAGGATGAATGCCTTTTGATGAAAACAAATAATTAAGGACCACAAGTAGGTAAAAATTAATCTCTCTAGCAAATTCCATATGACAAAGTGAGTTTTAGAAAAAAGGTTTATATAATACAATGCAACCTTAAAGAGTTTCTATCATCTGTCAAGGGAAGGACTGATTACCCCTTAGGAGACTGTATGTCTTTCAGGGAGAATTGCTTAAAGAGCACTATATATTAAACAGAAGAGCCTCCCTTTTCTGTCCAAAGGTTACTGAAGGAGCCTGTGTGTGTGTGTAAATGTGCACAAGAACAATTTCCTCTCAGAAAGGGCAAACAGAGAAACCTCTCTGTCACTCCACAAGATGATAGCACAAAGAGAAGAGGAGGAAAAAAAGCACATGTACTCCTCCCAAATGCTTCCTGGATTTTACCTGCTGCTAAATCTTGCTGAAAGCAGTTTTTAAGTTGTTCATCCTGCCAGACTGAAAAGCCCTATGAACACAGCAGCTTGTGTTTGGAAGCTGGATTGCAGTTCCTCTTCCACATGAATTCACTTACCTGAAGAATTCTCACTACACTCGCTACACTCCACAATGAGCAGGAATGGAAGTAGCTACCTTAGCTATTAGATAAATTACCCTAACTGCACAGTCAGGAGCTGCTGCCTTCTAATGATGGCTGTGGATATCTGGAATTGGATCAGACCCTCAATTACTAGAGAGTGTGGAAAAGAACAGATGGAGAGAATAAATTATACATCCTTAATGACAAAACAACTGACAGAAAGCTGACAGTGTTAATTCTGTTCTTGTTGGTAATAAGCTGTTACATAAAATGTTGTAAGTCAAAGCCAACACAGAGAAACAAAATCTACCCATCTCACATTTCTACTCTGCAGGGAAAAAAGCAACGACTTTGCACAAAGACTGAACATTTTATTAAACAGAAAATAATAGCCTGGCCCAACTGAAATTATCAAAATTAACCAAAATTAAAAAATATGAGAAAATTCCCATAAATCCCAACTAATCCCACACTAAAGCCAAAGGAAATGGAACACAATTTTTAAAAAAAAGATAATTTTGCAACCATGGTAAGAAGCACCTGGTTTCTCGATGGTCAATAACTAAAGTAAATAGAAAATTATTATCTACAAAAGCAAATGTTTGCAATTACAACATTTAGATAATAGTGTAAGATCATAACTAAGAACTTGGTAAAAAGTACAGCTGAAGAAAATAACTTCTTACTCCAGCTAGCACAATAACATAACAACCAGCTCTATATTCAGAATGTGGTGTGAAGTATTAGGGAGAACTCCAGTTTCTAGACTGAACCAAGACCTGTCTGAAATAAAATTTCAGCTGTACATTTTTATCTGGAAAATAAGCAGTTTCAAAAAAAAAAGTTCAGAAAGTGCTACACTGGGGAGACTGGACTGCAACACAGAACTTTTCCACTGAAAGTAGAGCACACCATATTTTCAGAGATATTTATCCTAAAAAAGCCAATTCCCATCACTAACCTGCAAAAGAGCGGCGTTTCACGTTCAGCTCATTGGACACTCGAATTTCAGTGCACAGTTTCAGCATCAGTAACATTGTAATGATCATGATAATGCTCTGCCACAAAAGAGGGGATTCAAAACGCCTTCCAAACCTAAAAAAGGAAATGAAAGTATGTAAAACATCGAAGCACCTGGAAAATGAAATGCTAACAGTAACAGGTATAGAAGGGTTAGGAAGTCAGAGTCACCAGACAGACCTAGTTGCCCATAGAGGAGCTCAGAGCAGAACTATCTGAGAACCTTATTTCAGCATCCCAATGGACTGATCCTAGAGATGCTGAAGAGAGAAGCTTAAGTCTTTGCTTCAAAAGCCAGCAGCAAACCTATTGTTTTGAAAGGAGAATCACATCCATTAAGCAGTAAGTTGGTACAGAGAGACCAGAGTTATGCCACATTAACACCAGTTATGTGTGCTCTCCACACACACACTCCAAATATATCACATGGACTTTGTGCAAAACATCCCTTTCTCATTTTTCCATTTTTAAGTTAAGTCATAAAAACAACAGCATTTGCCCTATAAAGAAATAAATACGCTAAGCCCCGCCTCAACATCTGCGTGGAAAAGGTGTACAGAACACACTATTTATTTAATCAATTTTTGCCTTATTTGGATCAAGATTGGGGGAAGTAAGGAAGTACAGATGATGTGTTATGGGAGCTTCCGTGCACTTCCTTCACACAATAGAGAGGGTGAACCTGGACTGTGGCCAGTCCTGACTGAAAAGTTACTCTTAAGTGGTTGCACAAGGCTCTGCTGTAGGAAAAGGAGAACCCTTCAGTGGAGATCAGTAATCCTCTTCCTACATCACTTGATGAAAGCTCAGCAATCCCCACCACACACTCAGTAAGTGCATAAAGGGTTAAGAGTGGAAGCTTATCATGTGCAGCCCTTGAAGCATATTGCATTTACAACAGGAAGGTGACACACACATCACAGTAAGCTGCTTCTCTGTGCTCAGTTCTGCCAGGTTTTATGCCTTGAAAACAGAGATGCTGAGGAAGGGATTTGGTTAGAACATATTGTTGTGCTCCCCAACTCCCTCACCTGCACCGCGAGGCACACAGGCTTTTTACATTTCCTAACAGCACCAGTTACTAAGGTCAATCTTCAACCACATCATGCTGACCGAGTCCCAAGCCTCACAGGCATGGCAATTATCTCTGTCTTCTTGACAGTTCCTGTTTTATAGCACTCAGGCAAAATGTAATGTTATGCTTGGGCTACTTTTATGGCTGAGCTCCATGCCAGTAGAAACCAGCTAGGCTCACCATCATGCTGTCTCACACTACTGTGTTTTCACTGCAGCCATTTCATCAGAGAGATTTTTTGTTATGAGTCAACTAACAAGGAACAGGACAGAGACTGGAAAGTCCTTGACTAGCTTCCTTGGAAATCATGTACAGAAGAGCCAAGGCACCCACATCAGTGAAAACAGTCAAGTATTTCCTGTCTAATGGCATACAGCTAAGGAAAAGTACAACTCCTTGAGCCTTCACACTCCTGCCAGAGGGCCCACCAGTTACTACTGCAGGAATGGTAGTTCTGTGACCTTTAGTCCCCCACTTCTACCCTCAATGGAGCCTTTACTGTAACAAATTTGGAGGACACTGAGGAAGGAAATAAAGGACAGAGCTGATAAGCATAATCATAGGCAGCGTGTGATCTGAATAAGGCTTTCACTACACTAGTTCAAAATGCAGGGGAAAAGAATAAAAGTTTGGTCTAGCCTATGCTCCAGGTTCATGATTCCAGAGCTCATTTAGCCTGTGTTGCTGACTGTGGCCAAGTTCCCCTCATCTAGAGGAATTCAGTACTATTATATTTGTCTCTTACTCAGGGATGAGAAAAAATATGGGAAAGACTTACTGAGAATTACAGAGCAGTTAACTATAAACCAGTTTACATCAGCTTTAGAAAAACTATCTCCAAGTACAAATGTATTTGCATGTAAAAATACAGTAATGCATTTAAGAGAGGCTGAGCTAGAAGTACAAGTTAGAAACTATTATGACAGTAAATCCAGCCACAGGTCACTGCAAGGTTAGCTTCTCCCTGCTGATGAGATTATTGGTCATTCACTAATGAGTGCCTCACAAAAGTACTGTCTGCTGTATAAATACCCACCCACTACAAACACAAATAAGCATAGCCACCTGCTTCTCTGATCACAACAATTTGTCATGAGATTCAAATACTGCTACAGACCCTCTCCCCCTAAACACTAGGTGAGGAAAAAGAGTAAAACAAAACTCACAACAAACAGAGTTAAAATGGAAATTTAAAAATTCTTATGGTAACTTCAAACAATGCAAACTACCTTCAGGGTTTTTCACAACAAAGGTTATACAACAAAACATACTCTTATGAAATGTATCTCCCCAAACACCAGACCCCATAATGAGTCTTGGAGGCAACACAATCTACTAAACTAGATCACATATACAGGAAAACAAACAGCTGCTATGAAGACCAACAGGCAGAGCAAACTACACCACATGGATTACACCACACTACCTGGGCAGCAAGACTGAAGGGAATACCACTGTCAAGGACCACTCTTGGGTTCCTGAAGCTATGAAAGTAAAGCCAGAACACTCATTTTGCTCTGCATCATGGACAAACACCACTCCAAGCTACTTACCCTATTTTGCATTAGTATCAGGGCCTGCCAAAGCAACACTAATCCAGTTTAAGACTCCTCAGGCCAGGTTGAGCCAGGAGCCCTATGGGATGTAAGCCCTGCAGGGACAGTGTGCCATTCCATGTTCTGTTTCCTTTCTGCCTCACAGACATCATTCCTGTCTCTGCATAAGCAGGAGCCAGGAGAGGAGGCACATTAAGGTAATTAAAGCACCTTATGAGAAAAAAGTGAAAAGCCTTAGGATACTAGAACAGACTTGTGGAAAAGATCAGCTTTGAAGTGCTGGGGGTGAGGGGTCACCACTGTTATTCTGCATTTTCATCCTGTAACTACAGTGTTGTGTAACAAAGTGAACAGTGACACTTACAGTATTCAAAGAACTCAGAATCCATGTCAGACTACAAAGAGACGAAGTGCTTTTCCATTGTTTACTTCATTTGTAAAAACAAAATAACTCTTTTATTTCCTGTACTAGTCAAATACGCAAATAAAGGGGGGGGGGGGGGGGGGAGTGGCTTACATGCTATTAGTGTTTCCACAGCCTTCAAATGACTAATGCGTGTTCAGGGTGATGAAGACAAGAGAAGTGCACATTCAAGCCAGAGCAGAGACTAACTAGTAATTGAGAAAACTACGTAATTCCATTGGTACAATTCAGTTCTGCAATAATCCTGCTATTCCAGTCCTGGGCCTACTCGAAATGGCAAATGCCAATTGTGAAAAAGAAACCTAAGCTAGACCAAACATAAAAGGTTTGCTTATCGCTTTTCCTAAGATATCTTTGAAAAGAAACTGACTGCTTTTGGTGCAGCCACATCACCATGTCCCTGACCACTCTTTCCTCCTACAATCTTGGATGCTGTTCCAGCTTTCATCTGCTGTCTGCTTTTCAGCTCTTTGGGAAGTGATTCTAGCCAACAGGGAAAGCACACAGGATACACCACAAACTAGGAGGATTACAACAGATGGCCCAGGGTAGCAGCACAGCAGCTGTCCTGAAAGTCATCCCACACAATTACAGAATTTAACCTGTAGGATTTAAGCAGGAAGAAGAAACAAACTAGTTTTGCAAGAGGATCTTTTGTACATCTCTTGACATGCAAACTTCCAAGACTTTATGCATCATTCCAAATGAAGCTCCTCACTTGGGCATACTTGGGCACAAAATTCTACTTTACTTTCTGCACAAAAAAGTAGCACATCTTATCCCTGCTCTGTGGTACTTATACAAAGAAGGAGGAATTGCATAACACTTTTGCTCTCAATATCTGAGCAAGATACCAGCAGGCCATATGTAAGGCAATCTTTCAAAGTTGTAGTCATTCCATCAGCTTGATTCATAGCATCATCCCACACACAGTACAAACTGGCGAGATTCATTTTAGTAACAGAAGCCTTAAAAGCACAAGTTTCTCTTTCTTGCAGAAAGTCCTTCAGACTTCACTGCTTTGCTTTCCAAAGCCAGAGCAACACAAGACAAAAGGGACCTGATCCACAAGTAGCAATGTAGATGTTCTAGCACAATAAATACCTAGAAATCCACCCCTGACAAGAGTAAGTTCACCATTTCTCTGTAAATTACTTCCAGCTCCATACTTGAGTCTCTAAACCTCTATTCTTAAACAGGGAGCTTATTCCATTGACTCTAACACAGAGAGCTCAGAGCTCTATTGATATTGCTGTTTTAAGAAGGCTTTTTGTTTCACGTCAACTGATGTGGAATGGGTAGAGGGTTACCTTTGCTCAAAAATAACACAGTCCATAGTCTTCATCCTGTCCCTGGCTATCAGAACTTGTTCCCATGGTTTGCCTTTCATAACTATTTTGTGAGAACAACTCCAAAACCGGATGGTTTTATTTTCTGGTTTTGGATTTCTGTGGCAGTGCTGTATGAGTTTTAGGACAAGGTCCCTTGGAATTGCAGCTCAAAACCTTTGGAAAGAACATTGTCTTCTTAGAAAATATACAAACCCTATTATATAATGACATCCATTTTACAAAACGTAAAACTGAAAAAAAAATCCCAAAAAACTTCTGGGGATAGCAGGCAACATAAATACTTTTGGCTGCTCTTAGTCAAGATATATATAAAAATGTCTACACCAGTTTCTAAGAAATCTATATAGTTCCTTTTTCTCTAGCTATTTTTTCTCATTTTAATATTAGAAGAAACTGTAATTTATCTCTTTATAAGCTCTGTTTTTAAAAAGAAAGGGCAAAGAGAGACAGAGGGGGTAGAGAGGGAGAACACTCAAGTTTTTCTGCATCCTCCACCCTCAACTAATTACACAACTCTAACCCGCCTTCTCATTCCTGTTCTCCATCATGACAATGCAAAGCTACTCAGCTGGCAGCCTGCAGGCCACATGAACCCAGATGTGTGCACCTTGGTCTAGTGCCACAGGGAACTCTGGAAGCCATCCCACAACTTCCAAACAGCCTGGGACACCTTAAACAGATAATTAATCACCGCAAAGCATCCCTTGAGCAAGAACACAGAGCTAACTCAAAAACGTATAATAAGATATGAGGCACAAGCAATCAAAAATGGTAATGAAGTGTTTAATTAAAAATGTAGAGGGAAGAAAATTGCTATCAGGCTTTTTTTTTTTTGGAGCAGGCCATACATTTTCATATGCACCAGAATTACGAAAGCCTGGAGCTCTGCACTGCCTCTCGATGCCTATCCATAGTGTAGACTTCCCCCAAGTTGACCAGTCCAGAGAAACGATGGCCTTAGGGGCTGGAGAAGACAGACAGGAGAAGCAGTACTGACAATGGCTAGACTAAACAAAGGGGCAGCTCATGCAGCCATAAATCATATCCAGCGGCTATACTGGCACCCCAAAATACATATTGCTTTGATGTGCTAGATAAAATTTTAATAGATTACTACTAAAAATAAAGTTAAATTGGTATAAAATCTACTACAGCACAAAATCTGCTCTTCACACTGGTAAACAGAGACTTCCTTGTGTGATAAGCACAAACTGCCTACCTTTAAATTTATTTTTTTTTAAGAATCCTCTTTACAAGGGCAAAAGACTTAAACATGACCAAACTTCTAGTTTCTTTTTCCTAAACAAAAGCCATGCCATGCATGCATAAATAAAGTGAACCACACCCATTGCTATCCATATTCTGTCTTCACTCTTCCAGACCAATCCTTCCACACAAAGTTCTGGCACATTGCTGGAACACAGCCAGGCTAAACACACATAACTGAAAGCATAAACAGCTCCTTAAAGACTACATTTTGAGACAGTATGTAAAAGAGAAGCATGAAAAATTGATACTGTCCTATTCTCATCACTAGTAAACTAAAAGTTCCTTGGGAACATTTTGAAATTAAGTGATTAGATGTAAGAATGTCAAGGAAGAGAGGCATTGCAGAGTTCTCTTGACTTCAAAAGACGGCTTACCACTGAAGACAGTCTAATCAGAGAAGCAGAATTGGTAAGAACAGGTAACTGGAAGCAGGACTGATCTGAGTAGTACTTTGTTCATTGGCTACTGTCACAGTGCAATCCACCATCTGAAACTCTATTAACACATAAAACATGCCTAGAAGATCAGGAGGCAGGTACTCTATTTGGATGGAAGATGAAAGGTCAAACTTAAACCACAACAAAACCAAGCATTAAACCAAAAAAAGAATAACCTCTGAAATAACCAAGTACAGTTATAGAATCCTGTGGAATCCATCATTCCACAAAGAGAATGTGAGGGAATTGCCCCATAGCGGAGGAGAAGGAAGTATATTAAAGCCATAAGGGAAAGGTGGGAGGACTGGGTCTGTTACAAGAAACACTAATACAGAAACACCAGCACTACCCAAGAGTAAAAATATGGAGGCATAAAAGGCATAAGAGGCAGGAACAGTCTGTCCTGAGCCGCAAATTCAATACATGAAATTTCAGGGAAAACCTGGAAGTAACAACAGAAACAAACTACAAAAATGTCTTTGAAGTTAAAAACAAAAAAGCAAAAAACAGTAGAAACATCAGTCATCCTAGGAAATAATTAAGTCCTGAAAAGCAACAACACTATTAAAACTTCAAAGTTTTTAAGGCCTAACAATTTAAGTACTTATTTTTGGATCAGGGTGGAGGGGAAATCCAGAAAAAAATTACTCTGGATCAAATCACATGCTTAATAATAAGGGGTAATGAAGTGAAAACAAATTAAACCAGAAGCTTTATGGCAGTAGAGTTTTCAGAAGAGACACTTGGATTAATATGGGAAATCTAAAGGGAAGGAGACGTCAAATGGTACTTGGGGAAAAAAATTATATACAAAACAAAATTACTCATAGGAACAATTCTGTCCTGGCACCAGAATGGATTAAATTATTTAATAAATTTAAAACAAAAGAAATAAAAACTTTCTCATTTCCTCCAAAGAATATTACATACACAATTAAAAGAATTCTGCTGTTTATGTCATTATCAAGAGCATTGTGTCCCAGATAATGCATCAGCTATAGGTGACATTAACCAAATAATGCAAAAATTGAATTACCAAGATGCTCTATGGGTGCGTTTTCACAATGTTCACAGGAATCACAGACTCTTGCTCTACAATCCTCCTTTAATCAACCAGAAACCAAAGGATAACATCCACCCTCAATGCCTTTTCATGACTTACTGGTGCTTATAACTACCAGGGATGCCTAATTTTTTAGGCAGACAAGCAAAATATTTTCTCCCAGGAACACTGAATTATCATTATGCAAGACTCTTTTGTCTTTTAGTTTAGCAGAACTAGAGAGAGACAATTAACTGCAAGTATAGACAGAAAGGTTTCTGCAGGTTCCTGCGTGAATCCATTCCATACCAAGCTCCAAGGTGACCAGACCTTACACAGTGCTTAGACATCTCAGAGGGTGATACTATCATGTGGCTTAACTACTCATACATGCTCCTATTAATATTCTTTCTCTTTTGACGTATTGATAGAACTTTCAATATTGACATAAATTATAACTTTATACTACTTGCAGTATTTATACTTTCACACATCTCTTAACTACATGTACTTAAAACCAATCCAAATTAAAAATCTTTCCATTTTTTCCATAGTCTGAGTCTCACTTAACAAATGCACTCACCCAATTTACCTAGAAACTGCCAGCATCTCCATTCAGGTGTAAGCCATTTATATATTTTGACTACCTCCAGTAAAACCAAAAATTACACTATTTCTCTTTTTAACAATGTCAGCTCAGGCTCTTCACTTCTCCTTCTCCTGCCAGTTCCTCTACTTCCTCCTGCTCTCTGCTTTCTCCATATACTTCTTCCCAAGAAAACACAGCTCCAATTCAACAAGTAGCTCTGATCTACTGATGACTACTGTTTGACTGCCAGCTTGTGGTGCCAAGAAAGGGTCTCCTGTTTTCCACTGCAGCACAGCTGTAGCAGAACCTAAGAAACCATTATACAGAGTCAGAGGAGGTTTCTTTAAAAAGAAACTGGAAACCAACAAACTGATGCAGCCTATTACCCATCAGTTCTTTATGGATAAAAAGCATTACTTTGTAGTCAAAACAAAATCACAGAATAACTATCCTTAGTTGCAGTAATTGCCGAGACCATTACATCTTTGGTTTCCTAAGTACATTCTCAGTGGTGTAGCATCTGTATAATAAAAAGTAATGAGCAAGATGTTTATAACATTGATTCACAGAAATCATGCCCTAATAACATTTTCTTTGTCCAGCAGCACAAAACCAAAATACGGAAAGAAACTTGCTCTTAAGTATTGAAACTGGCATTGAAAGCAAAAGAAATTTGCTTTTGAAAGGCAGCACATAATTTCCTTGCTTATCCAAGAATGAAAATTTTCATCTGTAGTTGTGCATGAAGATCTACAAGTGAACCCCCTCTGAAAGCCAGCTGGCATCCTGGGAATATGCAAGAATATATGGCAAGTGTTCCAATGACACTAATGCCAACTAGACACTAGAATAAGTGGGTGGTACTGAGGCTTCCACTCTGAAAATGGAGAGAGAGGAGCATGAGAAACGCAAAATATAGTCAGCAAGGAAAAAGACCTGACTTAGCATAAACCTCTTTACCAACAGTTAAAAAGTTTCATCTTGGAAATCAGAGTGCTGATAATCAGACCTGACAAGGGAAACAGATCATGCTCTCCAACCCAGTTCTTACTACTTAATAGACTCACTTACCGATGGAAAGACAGCATTCTCTTCAAGAGAATACGTAAAACATTATTTTCTCGAAGATTCCAACCAAAGCTTTACAACTGCCAAGCACGAACCTTTAGAACTGAGCAGAAACACAGTCAACTTACCAAAAAAGTATGCGCAGAATGTTTGCGACCAGCAACACCAGGCAGACGTAGGTGGAGAAGCCCTCCGCGTTCTGGGTGCGCCGAATGTCCCGGTACTGGGGGATGTAGGGCACGACGCCGCCGAACACCATGGCCCCCGCGGCACCCCAGGACACCAGCTGCTGCATGGGCACCAGCAGCCATTCCAGGCCGCCCGGCTCCATGCCGGGGGCGCGCGGGGAGCCGCTCGGGCTGAGGGATGCCCTCAGGCTAAGGGTGCCCCGCCGCAGCTCTCCGGCCGGGGCCGGCTCTAGCCACGGGCGGGCTCCTGGCCGGGATGCGGCACCATGACTGCGCCCTCTCCCGCGGGGCCAGGACCTGGGGAAAGGGACGGGGCGTGAGCCTGGCTCTGCCGAGGGCGGCTCCTGCCGCTGCCAGCCGGGCGCTGGCGAGCCCGGACCACCGCCCTGCCGCGGGCGGGTCGGGTCCGTGCCCGCTCCAGCCTCAGGCCCGGCCCCACTCCCAGCCCGGCGCTCCACAGGGCAAGCCCGGCCCCGGCACGGCAGCCGCGCCGTTCCATCGCTGAGAGCGACCGGGCAGGGCGCGGACACGCGGCTCCGCCGCCACCCCCGCCCGGGCCCTGGGCCGCGTCTCCGAGGGGGCTTCTCCGCCTCCCTCGCCCACCCGCGCTCTCCCCGCCCCACGGACAGGCGCGGCCGCCCGCCCGCCCCCCGCACCTGCTCCCCGAGCTCCGGCCGCCGCCGCCTCCATCCCCCGGCGCCGCTCCGCGGGCGGGCAGCGGCGGCCGGGGCGGCCCGTGACGCACCGGGAGCGGCCCCACCTCCGCCAATGAGCGCCGGGGCCGCCCCTTCCTCCGGCGGAGAACGACGGCACCGGGCACGGGCCCGGGCCCCTCCTACCGCGCTGCCGCCCACGGGCGGTACTGGGACACGGCGGGCGGCAGCGGGATGCCGTGGGCGGCTCGGCTCCCCCGAGCGCACCTGGCCGCGTTCTCCTCCGCGGGCTTCGCTGAGCTACCGCCCCGGGTCCTGCTCCCCAGGAGCTAGGGAAAATTCCGTCGTGCCTCGTGGACAAGAGGCAATGGCTTTAAACTGAAAGGGGTAGATTCAGATTAGATATTAGGAAGAAAGTCTTTACCTTGAGGGTGGTGAGGCACTGGAACAGGTTGCCCAGAGAAGCTGTGGCTGTTCCATCCCAGCGAGGCCAGGCTGGATGGGGCTCTGAGCAACCTGGCCTAATGAAAGGTGTCCATGGCAGCGAGGTTGGAACTAGATGGTCTTTAAAGTTCCGACCAATCCAAACCATTCTGTGATTCTGTGATTTCTGTGGCTCTCTGAATTGCAGTGGCTGGGGAGGGAAAGTGTGCATCTTCTACCCAAAGTAGGGCAGACCCAAAGTGACCGGGGAGCCTCTACTGCTGCTTGCACTGGGCCAGGAGAGGACAAGTGCTGCACACAGGTGTTGTGTGGAGAATGACAGCATGGACACTGCATCCACTTCCTTCAGCCACACTTAAAAGGATGGAACATCCACCACGCATCCAAGTGGCTGGACAGCTGTCCTCAAAGCTTGTTCCTTGGGCTCCCCATAATACTACCCCGGACCTGCTTCCTTCTACCTTGTAAGTAGAAGGAAGACTACTCATCCCCTGCTGCTCATCTAACAAGTAGGAAACGAGATGGGTTTTCCTGCATCTGAGGAATGTATGATTTTGTGTCCTATAGCAGGAACTGCAAATGTTTTTTTGTAAGTGTTAAAGGGGGAAAGGAGCTCAATTTGAAATAGAAAGGTCTGTTTCGTGACTTCAGAAGCCTTTTGTTTACTTCCTGCATAGCAGCACCTTGTTCAACTGCAACCATTTCCTCCACTGGGCAATTTTTGCAGCATATGTGCAGCACATGAACCTGCACATTACCGCAGAATTTATTTATCAAAGACATTCTTGGAGCACCATCATACAAATATCCAAAACAGACTCCTATGTAGATCAGGTGACCAGTGATAACATTGGGACTTAGCTTTCCTACAAGGAAGTAGCAGCTCTGCTACTTGAACAAAGCTCTATTCCATTACACAGACTTGATAGTTTGATTGCTGAAGTTAAAAATACATAGTGGATGTTTTGAACTCTGATTTTTGTATGAGGATCCTGAAGTTCCCGATTTCATCACATCTGACTCACTTAGAGAGACTATAACCATCCAATTATGTATAAACTGCATTATTTAAAACATTTTTGTATTTAATGGCTCATATTTCGTGTATCACTTGCTCATTAATATCAGGTAGTTATGCCAACTTCTTTACATGCTTTCCTTGGAGCCCTTAGCACCTTATTTTTTCTTAAGCACAATGGTCTAAGCAAACTTCAAGTTGAAAATAGGAGTAGCTCAGATTAGGAAGCAAATTTTTGTTCATGTAAATACAAGTATTTTGAGAAATCATGAAAAAATTGTCTTGAGAAAACAGGTGTTTTGAAGTAATGGTTACCTAAGTAAAAAAAAACTACCCAAGGTGCCACCAGATCTCCAGGTTAGCTTCCAGAATTATTCCAGAATGCTCTTAAGTGTATTCTATAACAAATTGTATATAATATTCAGATTCTAAAATACTCAGCTGGAAACAGACAACTGCCTAAACTTAAGTTGTTTTCCCTTACTTGAAACTGCAAGGGTAGAAACTGTGAATTACAGCACGTTGCTGTGTTCACACAATTCAGTTCCAGTCACTAAAAAACATCCTGGTTGTTCAGGAGTTAATCCACGGATGTAAGCTAAACTGACCAGTGACACCAGACACTGAATAGGAGGAGGAATGACCGGTTGACTGAACTCCTAGGGCTGAGCAGCTACCAGCATCAGGAAGGGACCTTTCAGCCATCTTGCTCATTACTTTTTATTCAGGTCTCAGGATATTCTAAAATGCCAGGCTCAGGTCCATCCTGAGGTGCTTGCTGCCTCCAGCCATAGCATCCTGCCTGGCACAGGAACACCCAACCACAGCAGACCCAGCAAAACGTCGGTAGGAGAGTGTGCTGGAAGAAATTTATCTAAACCTGAGGTGATAACAGGTGATTGGAGAGCGTCTTGCATCATCAAGGAAAAGTTCTGCAACCTGCACGCCTGAGTGCAGGCACACAGGAATGAGCCTTGTGAGGCTTCATATGAAAGCAGATTTCTTTCTCTGGCAGATAGTAAGTAAGAGGGAGCTCAGAAGAACAGTTCTCTTGATGTAAAAGCGGAGCCTACCCTAGAAACAGTACTGCTTCACTGCCAGACAGCAATCCTCTGTTTCAAATGAGGAGAAAAAGAACAGGTGTTTTTATTTTTTCACACAGATTGGCAAAATTCCCCCATTAGGAAAAGAAAAAAAACCTCTATTTGCTAGAACTACATTACCCATTCAGGAAACAGAAGCAGACAAAGTTTCACACCAGATCTTTGAAGACTAAATTAATCTTTTTAGGACATCTGCTGTAGGAGAATTGAAATTGATTATGTGAGCAGCTCTAACCACCTAGCTATGAACTAGCTTCTAGCAGTTAACATTTTGGTAACCAAACCTCCAAACATAACGAGAACTTTGATTTATTTTAGATTAAGAAATCTGATTAAGAAATGTTCCTGTAGTATCTTTGGATGTGGTTTAAGCAAGCTGAAAATGGTGAACAGACATGGGATGCTATCAAAGGGCTTTTAAGTTTAATGTTGGTAGAGGTAGTAAAAATTACTATGTAAGGTTTAGTTTTTGCAAATAGGTCCACTGACTTAAAAAAAAGAGCCCCATTTCTGCACTTGGCCCCATATGGCCATATTCCTGTCAGGACGACACTGGGACCAACAGGACACAGAAATGAACCACCTGATGGACCAGTTTCATGACAAGCCTTAGCCGTCTCTTTGCAGATTTTACAGGAGGAGGAGGAGGACAGCTGTTGGTACTTCACTTGTAGTTACTGCAGTAGCAAAAATAGCAGACTGCTGCAAGTCTCCCAACCAGTCTGTTATTCTGTCAATTGATTTTGAAAGATGAGTATTAACATTATTTTACATTCTACATTAGAGAAATGCTGTTGCACAGAAGCAAGCATATGAAGTCCCTGTAAGACCCTGCTAAAGTGCAAATAAGCTCTAAGTTACTTCTTGAACACACTGCACAATACAAGGATAAAGTGAATCCCTATGGTAGCCAAATTCCCTTCAATTATCACATTATATATTTCATTCTCAAGCTACAGCCATGGGGACATTAAAAAGAAATATTCACAGTACTGTTCATAAAACAAGTAAATGGGTCTTAAGTGTCTTGAAATTGGCCATTCCTGCCATAATGTATTATCACTAAATCAGCTGTCTTGTCTCCATTTTTTGATTTTTTCAAAAGCAACCCTGCTGCAACTGGTGGCAAAGGCTGCCTCCTGGCCCCTCCAAGCACTGGTGAGCCCCTGTTTTGGCAGCTGATGGACAGAATCAAGCTAGCGTTAATAGGAGATACAGTTTTATTGCACATCTTCACTACTCTTCCTTTCTCCTTCTGCGCTGATCTTCGCAAACCGAACAGTGAATATCAGCATGAGTGGAACACCCACTCACCTGCAGAGGAACACCCTCTGCACTTCCAGGGAGGAACTCTGACAAACATGCACAAGCCTACAAGCCCATCTCTGAGCAGTAGTCTCGTGCTTTGCACCAGGGAGCAGGAACCAGGACCACGGAGATGGATGATTAGACTCCTCTCTGTACTTCTTCTGCTACCATCTCCACAGACAAATGGAGGAAAAGCCCTAAAGCAAACATGTCAGAGCAGGAATCAGCCTGACAACTGGCAGAACGCTTCTTCAAACCATTTCAGCTTTGTAAACAATGGGCAAAGTTCAGAGTGGGGAAATAAACAAATAGCAGTCCTGGTTCAACATTTACCTGTGTAGCTGCTTACGTAGGTAAGAAGTTGAACCAGGACTGCTTAACCCTGCTGTTCTGTCAGACAGGTCCAGCTGGCTGCAATTATTTCTCCCCTACCTGCTCTTGGGATGCCTTTGGTGTGTCCCATGGCATCAAGGTCACCTCAGCAGTTGGCTGCATCAGAGGAGTCCATAGACAGTTCCCAGTCCACCTGCATATCCTTGCCCATATCCAACAATGCAGCCAGAAGTTCTCACCACAGCACCCTTCAGGAGTAGAGCTGCATTCTCTTAAGAAAATATGTAATAGAAGAACGTCTCCACTACATGGGATCTGCACAGTGTGCCATGGGAAAGTACCATGCAGGCTCCATTCATTGCTCATCCAATGCATGGTGCTCAGCGTCAGAAGGGACAAAGTCCTCTTTTTATTCCATCTTACTAAAATGGCTATTTTATTAAGCTGGTTTTTGTTGGACCTTGACATAATGCAGAAAGAGCTCTGTACCATCTGTTGCCTTGCGGGACCAGCCCTGGGCAGGTGCTGGCGGAGCGCGGGAGGAGAGGGGAGAGGTGGGCGCCACTTTCCCCTTAAGCTCTGCAAGTTCAGCTTCAGCATGGGGACAGACGGAGGCGACACGGGGCTCGGGTGCAAACACGTGTTTATTGTGGGTGTGTGTTCCCGAGACACCGGGGGCACTCGAGGGGTATCGGATATAATCCCCGAACTGGGGAGTGGGGGGAAACAGGAACCGCGGCCAATGAGGATAGGACAGGGGTGGGGAAGCCCAGAGACCCCAGAGATGGGGGCAGCGATGGGAAAGGTGGGGAGGGGTTGGAGGGAGCTGACCGAGTGGCGAGGGGGAGGAGCAGGAATGTAGGATTGAAGGACAAAGAGGAATGCGGGGGGAAGAA